GCCATAGGTGCATGTTTATTTCGCATTTTTCTGACAAAAATATTTAAAAACATGTCTATAAAAATGATAAAAGTATTAAAAATACAATCGCTAGAAATTTTAATTTTTATATCGCCACATTTTTATTTAAAACATATTCTTTTCTCTCACTTCGTCCGCCATTACTAGCCTGAAAAAATATCCGGTCGGGCCGCAATGCATTATGGGATACGCTGGGCCGGGAAGGATCCATCGGACCAGTCCTTTGATTCAGGCCAAAGGAAGGACGTAATTTGTTGGTCACATTGGAGGAGTCTTCGGCTTTGGACGGCCTCCGTCGCGGCGCTGTGATGTATGCAGCAGACGAATTTGGCCTTCGGAGGACCCAGCCTGCCGTTTTGGACACATCCTAGGTGTGGTAGTAGCTGAGAGTCATTTCCAAGATGCACTTTGAAGAAGACTTGCAGTTTCTGCCCCAAACCTTTGGAATGGCTAACCTCTTAGCATTCAAACTGCTGAGACTTTTAAATCTTTGCTTAAAACTCATCTTTACTCCTTGCCATTTCATTCTGGTAGAGTTTGAGATTCTTTTAAAGCCAATGTTTCCTATGTTCTATATCTTATTTTTACTATTTTTATATTTTTCTGTGTTGCTTTGTTGCTTTATTAATTTGGCTGAAATGTGAAGCACTTTGGTCAACTTTTGTTGTTTTTATGTGCTATTTAAATAAATTGACATTGACTTCTCGGTTACATCAAAGCTACACAAACTATTATTTATCAGTAAAAAGTAATTCTGGTGAAATTCTTTAATTTGTTCAGAATTTGCTTTCTTTTATTTCATGCATTTGGTTTATTTTGTGTTCCCAAATGAGATGCTTCAGAAAAACCATTTCTGTTTTCATTTTTTCAAATTGTTGCATCAGCTGCTGTTAGAAGCAATTGGTGGTGGAATTACCCACCGCCACCAATCTGCATCCATCTTTCATTAGCGAGGCTGCCTCAGTATTTTTAGTTCAAAGCTGACATCATCCGACACACGAGTCCGGCGTCTCTGCGGCCGAACGCCTCGTTCTTCTCAGCTGACCACTTTAGAGTGATTTAACATCCATTTCCTGAAGATCGCTCTTCCTGAGGCCGTCTGCTGCCCCTGTGACCGATCAACTCTGCAGATTGCATCCCGAGCCGGCCCGATGGCGAGCTACAGAAACGCCAAAACAAATTCCCAGCAAGCCTGATGTCGATGGAGGCTCCAACTGTAATATAATCTATGACACTTACTTGGCCAGCAACAAAAGACAAGATAATGTGCTTTATATATAGAGTCGCCTAATCCTCTTAAGACACAAGCAGAGAGAGCAGGGGCGGGGGTGGGGGGGGGGGGGTGCTTCTCGGAGCAAGTCACATGGGAGTTACGTTAACTTCGATAAGATAGAGAAAGCTGTTTCTCCTCAAATTAAAATCAGCCAGTGGAAGATGACAAGGAATTTGCTGGAGGTTTCCGAGAGGCAATTAAAATTTGTGGGAAGGTGGGAGGGCTGAAGGGGCTGTGGGGTGGGGGGCACTGCAGCTCAGAGATCAGGTTATTTCATTCTGGGAAGCTGGAGAGTTTTAATACTCGCTCAACAGTTGCTGCCGCAGATGAAATGTTTGCTCATCCTGCTTTGTGGCAGATTTGCTCTCTCCCGGTGACACCACCCTAAAAAATAGAAAAATAAAATAAAAATAAAAAAACCTCCCACCTGTGAGTTTCTGCCTACATTTGTCGACAGCAGCCCGGATTCGATGCCAGGAAGCTCTCAGCTTGGTCTCTGCTGTCTGCAGTTAACACTGCAGGAGGAATTTGAAATAAGTTCTCTTGTATGTGTGAATATTTTTGTACGACTGACAGCTCTGACTGCAGAAGAGGAGGATAAGCAGTCACAAACAGGCACTGCTCCAAATTCTGGACAGGGGAGGGGAAAAAACTGACAGAGCAGCAAGAGGAGAGCAGGAAATCAACGAGAGGAAACAAGTAAAATAAAAAATTGGAAGAAAGGAGAGAGATAAGTGAATAAAACGTAATTAAAAATAAAAATAATTAAGATTCCCGCTCTGGGCTGCAAACTAAAATTGACTCAATATTGAGCCAATCAGCTGCAGGCTGCAGGAATGTGTGGAGCTGTCCATGGTGCTGACCACAGATCAGGTCAGCAGCCGAGCTCCCGTGAATCCTCCCATGAATCAGACAAACTGTTGCTTTTAGTATCAGTCAGTAGACTTTTTATTATTTTATTTTTAGATTTAAACAACCAAATAGTTTCAGCAAAGCGTCAGTTTTTCCTGTTCAAAATGTTCAGAACATGTTAGAAAACGTTTTTTTTCTTTTGTTAAACTGTTTAATAACTCCTACTACAAACAAGTTCTTTAGTATTTTAAAATAAAGTTGTGTTTTGTACTACAAATTAATATTACTATTAAATTATTTAAAGGTAAATTATGAAGCAATTATAAAAGAATGTATTCATAATTGTTGTTGTTAAATTAGAGATCCTTACCTAACTCTAAACTAATTATATATATGCTGATTTTGCAACTAGAGCTGTTTAAGTTACCAAAATTCATCCAAAAAAACGTTTTTAGTGTTTTACTTTTTGATAAAATGCACCATGCGTCTTATTAAAAATGTCATTACGAATAAATAAAAAAATAAATTTTAAGGTTTAACATCATGTTCTCTCCTGTTACCTACACAGAATTAATCAGAGCAGCCAAACCAGAGCCTCTTGATCCGCCTCTTCCTCCTCACTGCATTTACATATTAGTCCTTGGAATTTAAATAAAAATGAGTCATTATCATGATTAGTCTGCGGCTCGAGCACCGACTGAATACTTGAGGAAACATGAGCGTTTTGTTATTTCCTCTCTGTTAAAAAAAAGCTCACACCTCCCCGTCACAAACAAACTCAGGTTTGTTTTTATGCACATATGACCTTCAAACACATGCATGATAATATGTTGTGGGCGCGTCTGCCAGAGAAACATCTTGATTGTGGTGCGAGCAGAACAACACCACGCAGCGGCGCGGGGCTGCGAAGGGAGTCGTTTCAATCGTACACAACTGTGGTGCAACTCTCAGGGGTAATTAGTATCTTTGTGCCTATTGAACACATTAAAAAAAACAGTTTTATCACATCTCGCCYGCAGCTTCATAATGCACCGAGAGTGAGACGGTGGGTGGGGGGAGCGGGGATGAAGAGGTGCCGGTGGGTCACTGAAGCGAGTAGCTGTATATCGAAATTACGATGGCACTCMACAGAACCGAGGTTCAAACGAGATTTTCATCTGCGGGGATAGGCGAGGGGTAAGGAGGCTGCTTGTAGGAAGTGTGGGTGTAATGAGATGTACAGGAACACAAAGACAGCGCAGGGACACCAGAGATGCGGCGGGATGAGAGGAACAAGAGAGGTGCGTTTGTGCACGAGGGAAACAATCTGGAGACGAAGACACAAACGTATCAGAGACGAGGCCAGGACAGATCTGCTGCTTTAAAGGGTTTAAGGGTGAGTAATGAGATGACAGACAGGAAGATAAGAGAAACAGGAGAAGCAGACATATTTAATAAAAACTCGGTTCGAAGAACTGAAGAATCAAAACCACGTAAAGATGCAGCTCATTCTGCAGTCTGTCCAGTAACAGTCATTCTTTTATAAAATATTATAAATAAATTAAATTATGTTTACTGTATATCCAGATCATCACTGATAAAGCAATGATTATTTTAAATGGGCAATATCATGTAAAATCAACTTTTTTGAGTTTTATATCATGTTGTAATGTTATACTCTCATAAAAAAACATGCCCAAAGCCTTGCTTTGACTCATTCATGCATGTTTGAGAAATCCTGCAGCGTTTTTAGGAAGCCATGCTGAGGAGCAAAACGACAGGTGGGGACCAGAAACACCTCTGGGATGTGTCTTTAAGCTGAACTTCCTCATCACAGAGCACACCTCCCCGCCCATGACTCCTGCAGGCTCTCGGCAGTAACAAAGCAAACGAGTGAAACTGAAAGTGAAACTTAAACTCTACTCTGCTGCACTCAACACTACTTCTCACTCAGTGAAACTCTTTTCAGATTAAAAATACCTTTGAGGAAATGTATTTTCAGATGCCAAGTAAACTGCATCGTAGCGGGCGCGCGAACCCCCCACCCCTGCGCTGAAATGGATGGGACAGAAGTGGAAGGAGGTTCTTAAAGAGACAGAGGCCAATTTCACGGCGTTTAGAAGAGGAAGTGATGAGAAGATAAGTTTATTTTCTATTTAAACATAAAAACAGCATTTTAATGACAGCTAAAGGTGACATGGATACTTTATTATGGTATAGTATTTAAATATATGCCTGAGAAACACATAATATTGGCCCTTTAACTGTTTCACTACAAATGAAAGGTTCTGGGGCAGTCTCAATCCTGGTCATTGAGGACCACTATTCTGCATGTTTCAGATGTTTTCCTGCTCAGGCACACCTGATTTAAATGAAAGAGTGATTGACAGGTGTCTGCAGAAGAGCAGGGAAACAACTAAAACATGTAGGATAGTGGTCCTCAAGGACCAGCATTGAGATCCACTGCTTTAGAGAATCCTGGGAAATTAATTTGGATTTTTGTCATTTTATTCTTAAATTTGTTCCCTAAGCACGTTAAAAGCAGAATTTGTTAGCCCACTGAGCAGATCTTGTTTGATGAGAGCTTTTCCAACATTCCTCACAGCAACTGCATTTAAACTGTCTCACAGAGAAACATCTGCTTTGTGTTGGATTTTGAAGTATGAAAAAAGAAAGATGTACATCCTCTTGATTCAAGTGTCAAACATGACTCCCGTCGTTTAAAAAAAAAACATGAATATAGTTTTTAAATGAATGGTAAACTTTAAATTTATGACAATACATTTTGAAAAGGTGAAAAATAATAGACCTGCCACTGAGCTGTTGGCTTTAAATAACTGAGCAACTTAGTTAGAGTTTTAATGTCAAAACAAGCTGCTTTAAAGCCAGCACTGATCATAAACTACATCTCCCATAATGCATTTTGATTACGCAGCTACTCACCACAACTCAACAGTGAGAGAAAACTCTCATACTTTAACTTTTAATAGTATTTCTGTGGTATTTATTTCATATTTAGATGTTAAAATTCTGTTTCTATGCAGGAAACACCAGGTAGAGCTCAGTTATTGTTTTTCTTAGACGTGCTCAGTTATAGCAATGAGACGAGAAACATGTTTTGTGTCGTCTTAATTAGTGGACGAAGGGATCTGGTTAGCATAAATATGAGTGATGTGGGGGTAAATTTCTAAAAGAAATGTTCAAGATTGAAATGATAGTTTTCAGCCCAACAGAGACCTTCAGAACACAAACACATTAAGAGCCACTTCTTCACCTACAGGACACTCACCAGTATCATGTGACCAGTTGAGATGTCCATGTTTGAGTGGGCAGGTTCCTCACTCCACGACGAGATGCTGCTCCGGGCCGAGGGGCTGATGGCCGGACCGCCGTCGCTGAACTGAGACGAGACGCTGTTGATCCTGGAGGAGATGGCCTCGGGACGCTCGGGAGGAGGTTTGACCGCCATCCTCTGCCGACAGAGTTCCTGCAGGAGGGAAGGTACAGATGAAGCGACGCAACGTTTTATTTAAAGTTTCTTAAAAACTGAGAGACTTTATTCAACGCCGTGACAAGAGACTGGCAAAATGCAAAGTGTGGAGTCCAAATCCAAAATTTGTTTTTGTGATGACTTGTGCAGCATTTTTACTTTAAGGATTCTGGTTCTTCATCTTTGCTGACATGCTTTTATCCATTTAAAAGTATTTTCTGGTATTTTATTGTAAAATCAGCAGCAGACTTGTTGGATTTGTTCTTTGTTAATGAAAAGATATAATTACAGTTTGCTTTTGTTGTTACAAAATACAGTTAACAATACTCTAAATGCTTGATTGTTGTTATTTCAACCTTAACCTTATCTGTATTTTTAAAACAGTATCACGTTTTAATAGTATTATTAAAACATGATACTGTTTTAACAATGTATCAACATAGTATCAATATGTTTTAATATTTGATTAAAATATAGTATTATGGAATATAATCTAGTATAGTTAGAATACCTTTGATCAAACTGCCAGTTAAGTGATACAACAAGACTTTGACTTGAGACTTGACTTGGATTTTTGGTCAAAGACTTGGACTTGACTTGGAGCAAAAGACTTGAGACTTGACTTGGACTTGCACAAACAGACTTGCGCACATCTGATTCAAACTCTCCATAACTACCTAAAGCAAGAAGACTCCTCTGCATTTAAAAGATTATTTATCTGAAGCAAGAAATGAGCAGCTGTTAAATTAACACAAGGGTTTTCTTTCAATCGTCTGAAGTTGTTTGATGTGATTTTCAGGAATCTGCTTTGCWTTGGTCAAAGAAACCAATCAACTCATTAAAACTAGGTAATAAATACCAGTAGCATATATGACCCCTGAGTACCCACAGAACTCAACAGATCTATTGTTTTGGGTGGGCACGATGGATTGCCCTTCATCAAAAAATCTGGAGCTCATATGTTGAATAGTTTTTGAGTTATAAGCATTTTTCTGTGTCCAGAAACCCCATTTTAAGATGGAGCCCCCTCCTCAAATATGGGGTCTATTGTAAAACTGTTGGCTGGCGCAGCGTAGGTTGGACTCATCTACAGCCCTGCCAAATTTATGTTGATTGGTGCAGACATTTCCGTGATATGGTTGACCAAAAATCCCTATTAATACAAAAAGAAAAAATAATTCTAATAACAGTATGAAAACAATAAGACCCCCGCTTCGCGTGCGTTTTTTTTTTTGATTTAACAGG